TACAGACCTTAAAGGACAACTTTGAAAGGGTTTTGTTATTTTGGTCAAAAAATAACAAAAAAATATTTTTTCATGGCAAGGTTGACATTTGCATGGAATTGCTCAGATGGTCCTTCATCCAAGCAGAGATATCTGAAATATGTCTGAAATACAGGTTGAGCCAGTGGGATCATCAGGTTGAAATGAAAGATAGAGCTGTTCATCATCTGCATAGCAGTGGTAGGAGAAGCCATTTGCCTTTATCATGCCCAGTGAGGTTGTGCAAAAGGAAAAAAGAAGAGGAGTGAGCACTGAATCTTGAGGAACAGTGATTAGCTGATGTGACTAAGACACCCCACCTCTCCATGAAACCCTGAAAGATCTGCCTGTGAGGTTAGACTGGATCCACCAAAGTGCCATACTTGTGATGCCCAAGTCAGAGAAAGTGGATAGAGGGATCTGGTGGTTCACAGTATTGAAGCCTGCAGACAGATCAAGCAGAAAAAAAGAGAAATACTATGAAGGAGAGATGTGTGCTGAAGGAGAGCAATGCATGCTGATGTTTTGTTGCAGACCTATGACTCCATCCCCTGAACTTTCCCTTGCCCTGTATCATGCTCTCTCATTCGCTCATTGGCATCGTCGCCAATGTCATTTGCATTCAAAACACATTTCACACTGCAGGACTCTGAGTCACCAGCAGGTATGACTCAGGCATCAATGACTCATCGGCACTTCTCTCAGATGGCATTTTGATAACACACTACATGATTATGATTATGATATGTATATACAGTATATTGCTGTGATCCCAGCTTCTACGCATGCTCTTCCTCCATGTAATGCAAGTAGGGATGCTTGGTGAGATACCTCATTCTGTATCTCCCACTGAAATCCCCTTAAACAATACCCAAGAGGTAGCCATACCTCTTGTAGAATGAGCTCTTAAGCTGACCAGGGAATTAACCCTCTGGGGTCGGTGAATGCGCTGGTGCGGTCCCATAGCTGTTTAGGCCAACTCAATAGCCTCCGCCATCCAATGGGAAAGGTGCTCAGAGGAGATTGGTTTACCCTCACATTGTATGGCTGGTTAAACTAATAACTGATCATTCTTTCTAAATAATTGTGTCTTGTTTACATAATTGCGTAGCGCTCATACAGGATGAAAATGTGCAGTTTATGCTCCTCCTCTGAAGAAAATGGAGGAGGTTAAAAGGTAGCGCAAGTTATAAGCTGAATCACTGACCTCGGGAATGAAAGCTGGGTTAGGCTGTAGTGTAACCTCACATCCAACCCAACTAAAATTGGCTCTGGGTGGGGGTGAAATATCTTCCCATTCACTTGTGATAGCAGGTCCCTGCACCATGGAAGTGGCTAGGGCTCTCCCTGAAGGAGCTGAAGAATCTCTGCTAGCCACAGCTTTCCCGGCCAACGAGGGGCTATCAGAAGGAGAGGTAACCCATTTTCTCTTACTCCGTCTAGGATCGGTGAAGTTAGAGCAAGCGGTGGGAATGTAAAAATCAACATGTTGGCCATGGGTGCGTTAGAGCATCCACACCCAAAGGCACATTTCTGTCCTTGTGAGAGAAATATAGTGGACACTTTGTGTTTGC